ATCTATCAATCTGTGGGCACCGGGATCGATGCTCGCCCAAATCATAATTGACTTCTTGATTTTTTAAAACTTTCATGCCCCCTCCTATGGGGCCTACAGAACTGTTGTGCAAAGGTTAGGTATGCAAAAGATGTAGGTTCGATCTTTACACGGGGAAGTCTATCTATCGAATGGTTCCACTTCATGCTAGAGTGCTGTTTTCCTTTCATCCTGGGCGGGCCCTGAGAGGCAAGGTAGAAGCATCCCGCCTCCCACATGGGCTGAACAGTGTTGAAAGGGGGGAGGGGGGGGGTGTAAAGTATTTCATCCTTACAATAACTTGAATTAATAAATAATAAACTCCAATTGATTTATCTTCGTGTGGATATTCGGAACGCAATGGTATTCATACATCAAACGTACAAGCATGAATTCATAATACGTGCATACATACTTAACACACACATATTGACTACATACAAAGAATCATTATTTTACCAAAATTACCAAATGTACACTATCATACTTACCCAGATAATTCTACAAGCACGTTATTTCTGGAAGGAGTTCCGCAAAGGGCCGGCCGACCAACAACACACAAAAGACGGAATATTTTGAGCGGGGTATACCCAAAGCCCTAACCCTAACCCTAACCCTAAGCCCTAACCCTAATCCTAACCCTAAACACTAAATTTAACCCTAACCCTTACACGTGTGGACCTTGCTCTCTGCGGAGCTACTCCCTTATTTCTGGTGCAGGACCCTCGCTGCTTTATTAATTAATTAATTAATGTATTTATTTATTTATTCATTTTTAGCTAGAATGATCGTGTCTTTCTCAAGGCCACACCCTATACAGTGACCACCCACCAAAACGCCGCCTCACCGTTGCATGCTTGGCATTGTTGTGTGTGATCCTACCTAAAACTCACAAATCATTCTGCCAGTGGGGCCATTTACAGCAAACGGACGTTATAATTAATCTTGTGTGTGCGTCAAATAAAAACCAAACTTAACTACCATCTGCTTTCTCTCTCTCTCTCTCTCTCTCTCTCTCTCTCTCTTTTTGTTTTTGTTTTCGTTTCTTTGTTTTTTATTTTGACTTCAGGTAGAGACGGCTAAAAGGAGACATTCTTTGTCGATCCCATCCCTCACCCCCACTTTTGTTTGTTATTTTTGTTTTTCAGGTAGAGAAATTAAAAAGGAGACATTCCTTTGCCCCCCAACCACACACTTACACGTTTTTGTTTTTATTATACAAGAAAAGGGAGCTTGCGGGTGGCTGGTGGGTGCTCTAGTGTGATTTGCTCCTTCTTTCGTATCGAACATCCGTTCTCCTTACCCTCCTCC